GTACAAAACTAGTTCATTGCTTGTTGATCAACTGTATCTATCAATGAACTTTGGCATGTATGTGTATCTTTGATGTATACAAGTGGCTAATCATGGGTAATAAGACATATGTCACGTGTAAGATCAGATGAATCATATGACTGATAGTGTGCTTTTGCCAAATGGAAAATGGTTCTTTTGTTTTCTAAAGCATACTTTACAATTTGTTTACCCAAACAGTTTTCACATAAAAAATACCAAAGTAAAAGTTGTTTGCATACTTTGTACTTTTGTACTATTAAAAGTACAAAAGTAGAAGTCTATCCAAACATAGCCTTAGAATATGAATGCTTCTTTCCTTTTTTTTTTCTTTTTTCTTTTTCAAATTACCTGTAGGAACTTCATTGCAACTGATTAAATACATTAAGTCCATGCTTTTAAATGGAATTTAAATGGATCCATGCTATAACATGCTTCAAATGGTGTTGTTTAGATGATGTTATTAATAATTAGATATGTAATTGTCGATCGATGATAAGGATGATCATTCTTTTCTCACTCAAAACTTAGGGTCCATTTAACTTGCAGACAAGACCGGAAATGAATCAAAATCTCCTAGAATCAGAATTGGATCACCTATTCCTCACGCTTGTTCATTGGGATTGGATTCTGATTTTTGCCATTTGGTTCAATCACGAATTAGAATTGGATTCTGATTTTTGCCATTTGGTTCATTGGGAGTTTGAATCGGAATCAACTAAAAATTTTCAATGTTGTATTAATCTATTTGTTATTTTATTATTACTTTATCAATATCTTTTTAATATATATAGTTATTATCTTATTAGTATTTTGTTATGATTATTTTATTAGTATTTAATAATTAATATCTTAGTATTTATCATAAATTTATGAATATTTTATTAATATATCATTATATTATTATTACTTTAATTATAATATATTAATATTCTATTGGTACTTAATTATTATTAAATAAACAATACCTTTTCTTTTTATTATTAATTTATTAATATGTTATTATAGTATTACTATTTTATGAATATTTACTAATATTTTGTTATTATTTTAATTATTAATATACTCTCATTTTTTATTATTATTTTATTATTTTAATTATATTATATTAATGTTTTATTTATACTTTACTATTATTATCTTTATCTTTGTTTATTATTATCAATTTATTAATATTTTATTATTTTATTAACATTAGTATTCAGGGGCTTTTTGTCTTGAGTTCTTTATTTCTTGACATACTCTAGAATGGGATTCCCATTCCTTGGGGGTCGGAATAGCCATTCCTCCATATGAGGGAATGGGATTCCCCCAAGAATGGGAATTGGAATTCCATTCCAGCCAAACAAATAGTAGGAATCAAAATGGGCCATTTTGATTCCAATTGTAGATTTGTAGGCACCTATTCTTGGAAACCAAACAGACCCTTAGCGACATGAGATCAAAGGTGTGTAATTGCAAACACTATGTGGCAAGGTCGATGGACTTCATGTAAACCCTACTTTGCGTCCCTACTTCTTAATCTCCTATAATGTGTAACTATATATAGGTTTTTTATTTGACTTAAGAGATTAATTAATCACTTTTTTATTTGATCTATATTGTATATCTAATTTGAATTTCTTATTTAATTTTAAAAGTGATAAATAAGGTTTATAATTGATAACATATTTCATCTAAGAGAATGAGACCTACACCATTGAAAGCCCTTATAATGAGCCTTTTTGTTTGAAATAGGAAATCAAATTAAAAAGATTATTATGGGTCCTAAATCTTTTTGAAGTGAATACTTTTTTTCATAA